TTTGCATGATCCTTTGAGAAGGGCTCCAACTTGGATAAAATCAATAAGTATGCCACTAACTCTCTTAGGTGGAAAAGAATCTACACATTATAGAGATAGAATATTTGCATCTAAACTAAAGATGACTTATATCTAAAATCGGACCAATATGACCATTTTCCGTTTAGGGACAAATTTAGCGCTATGTTAAGTAATCGTTGTACAATCTATAAGGAAAATCATACTATGGGAGGCCGGTCAATAACAATTTATGTACCATACATGTTAGAGATATGATATAAAGATCATACTCCTAAAACATGTAGCACAAGTCAAAACAAGGTTGATCAAGACATAAGTCAAGGAAAGATGGATCCATTACATCAATCAACTTCTTATAGTACTTTGGACAAACTTATGCATCACTCTAAAGTACCTCAATTGATCAAATGATCAATTAAATGGTATATTTGAAATGATGAAAGTTCATCAAGCACCATTCAAGATCTTATGAACAAGGTGACCTACAACATCCTCCAATTGATCCAAAAAAGGGTGAACAAGAAAATGAAAGGGATGAAAAAGAGAGGATCAAACAAAAAGATAAAACCAAATTAGATCCAAGTGATGATCAAGTCACCATCAAAATCAATCATCCATTTGGGTGGATTAGGGGTTTCACCCCATCAACACCAAAGATCCATTGAGTTTGATGAGACATAGGATCAAATCAACCAAGATCCAAGGCCAACAACAGTCAAAAAAGGTCAAACAATATAAAAATGCAATAATATGAATTAAAATGCACTAAATTAATTTTTAAAATTAATTTTAAAATGAAAAATAAAGATGAAAACACAAATGATGCATCAAATCAAATGAGAATTGATCAAGAAAAATCACACAAGTCAAAAATAATATGAGAATGCTATATGAAAATTTTGAGAATTTTTGGATGTATAAAAATATTTATAACCTAATAAAAATGCTTGAAAAATGAACAAAATGATGAAAAATATCAAATGAAGAAATAAAAATATGCAAAAGTGCTTAGAAAATAGAGAATATTTTTATGAAACTTGAAAAAAAAGAGTTAAAAATGTTAATAGAACTATTTTTTCATGTTTTTTTTTAAATTAAATAAAAAAAAAGAACATAGAAAATAAAATAAATGCTGGAAAATATATGAGCCATTGATTTGATAAGAAGGCTGAGAATGGAAATGCGTTTATCCATTAGATCTCATTAAATGAGATCAGAAGGTCCACATCATGAGAAACACTATGGACACTAAATGAAGGCACACACATGATCCTATTTTAAAATAAAATAAACTCTGGCCACAAGGATGCTTCTTCGACCGTCTTCTCTGTTGAGATCCTCACTGGAGTTTAACAAATGGTAAAGATATATCATGAGACTTATACCATTGTGACAATCTCATTGAAATAAACTCAACCATGTCCATCATTTGCATTTATTGAAAATGTACATGGAGAATTTCATGAAAATGCAGAGAGAAACACAAACACAAAAGCAAAAGTTAAATGATGATCATGAACAATCAACACCAGCTAGGTTAAGAGAAACATTCAGCCAACAAAGGACTACATTATGGTAACTTGTTTGAGTAAAAATAGAGCCTTAAACTACCTTGTCCAAAAACGATCGAAGAAGCTCTAAAACTGGATTTGGTTAGAGCAATTTAGTGACTCTTAGAGCTTGGAATTTGTTACAGAAGCTTCAGAGGAACACGATAAAGCTTATGAAATCAAGAAATGGGAGTGAGAGTGGCTGGAAACCAAACACGATAGCTCACTTTTTTGCAGAAATTATGAAGGTGAAGTGTCGCGGTGAGAATTAGATGTCAAGCTATTGATTAACTTGGATCACAAATCTTATTCACCATAGATCTTTAATTTGTCCAAGAGAAGGGAAAAAGATCAAATAACCCATGAGTATGTAATGCAATACAAGATTAGAGAGTCTAGGGTTCGGGGGTTGGTTATACCTAGGAAAGGTGTTAGCATCCTAAGCATTTGTAGTACTCTACAGGAACCTTTTGCTGAATTGTTTTATTATTATTTGCTAGAGGGTGACCTAGGGGTTTGTTTCTAAGTATGCTTACCAAGACATCACATCTTGTGCCTACGTATCCTGACGAGAATGGAATTAGAGCATCGTGGTTCCCCTAAAGGGATGAAGAACTCTTGAATGTGGCTAAGGTTCCAGGGGGAGAAGTTTGTTGATTGGTTTTAGGAGAAGAGACGAGTCATCATCTTAAGGAGAATGCTTGACTTAAACCACCACGAACACGTGGAAGATAGTCTTTGCTTCACATTGAGAGAAGGGCTCTAACTCGGATCTACAATCGTTAAGTTTGTCACATACCTCTCTCAAGCGGAAAAGATTCTACATCTTTCTCAACTATGTTATGGGGTAGGAGAATTATATATCGACTATATAGATGACTAGTGTCTAATTCTCTTGGGAGAAAAAAAATATCTTAAACCATAAATTATCTAAGTTGAAAAAAACTTAAGGGAATCTATCTTAAGGATAAGGATGTAGTAAGCTGATCGACCTGAAGGGAGTCAGGGATCAAGCAGGGGTAAATGATAAGGATGAACAAGATGTTCATGATTACAAATTCAATAGCAAAATCCTTCCCTTGGACTCGTAGAATGAGCAAGAACAAATATTTAAGGACCATAAGATAATTATCAAATAAAATTGGCAATCAATATATGTGGTCAAACAAAGATGAACACGGAGTCGAGGTTAAAAGAGGAATTTCTAGCCTAATGTTATCATGCGATAGGATCGAAATCAAAGTCTACTCTTAATTCAATTTAATAAAAAAAAACAAATAGAATCGAGGTACCCCAAGGGACATGTGAATCAAAACCATACAAGCGTATCAACTTCTACAAGAAAAAAAAATGATAAATAAACAAATTGTGATTGATGTCGAAATTAAATAAAACTTAAATCCAAATCAACAAGAAAACTAATTACCCACTAATTTTTTTTAAGATTTTGAATTAATTCACCAAACTTTAATTAATCCCAATTAAAGATTTAATTAAAAAAACTAAATAATTTAAAACAAGTAAAATAGATAATAAAATAAATGTGTATTTTTAAAAAAAGAAAAAGAAAAAAAGAAATCTGAGCCTACAATGATGAGCCCATGAAGCTGATGAAAAAAAAACTAATAAAAAAGAAAGAGAGCCAGGTCGGGTACAATCCCTAACCCGCCTGTCCCAATCAACAACAATAACATGCCTTGTTAACAACCATAAATAAAACTGCAAATCCCTATATCAAAACTCGAACACGACATTCGAATCGTACAAATTGATGGCATCATTCAACAATTAAACATTTGCATATGCGGCACAAGAGCGAGATTAATAGAGATTACCCGTCGGAGTCCGTCCGACGAGTCTTCGGCGGTGAAGTTTGATTATATCAGTATGTCTAGTACGTTATTTCTCCTTGTTGGTCGTATGCGCATTGTGTTTGTTCTATGTATGATGTTATGACTTCTGAAATTATGCTTATTACTCCTGGTATTCGTGTGAACCTGATGTAGTGGCTGTCGTTCATCTTTTCTATGTGAGATTGTGGCTACGTGTGGGTGTCTATTTTTTATGTCCCTAATACTGTGTTATGTAGCTCTTTTATAAGCACAAAGCATTGATTTCAAAATTGAATGTCGATATTGTGTCAACGCCTATTTTATGGAAATAATCTCGATTTGTATGGACCCTGTTCCTATTTATTCAAATCAATCCTAAATCTTCTTGAATTCTTTGTATCTTGGTAAGAATCAGATATCAAGCTATTAATTAAATTGAATCACACATCTTTAAAATTCACCACCGAACTTCGATTTATCCAAAGGAAAGGGTAAAGATTGAAGAAAACCCTAATTGTATTATAAAAACAATACAGGAGATCTAAGGTTCGGAGGTTGGTTATACCTAGGGAAGGTTTTAGCATCCTAAGTATCTGTAGTACTCTACGGAACCTCTTGTTTTATTTGCATTATTTGTCATATGTTATCTGCTTCCTAAGGGGTTGAAAGGAGACCTAAGGGGTTATTTCTAAGTATGTTCGCCAAGACATCACATTTAGTGCCTGCGTATCCTGACGGGAATAGAATCAGAGCACTCGTAGTTCCTCTCAATGAGGGTGAGGAACTTTTGATTGTGGTCAAGATTCCAGGGGGAGTGGTAAGTGTCTATGGCAGAACACTTACGTAGAGTACAACAACTCTAAACCTAAGGCTAGGTTGAAAAATAAGTATCCATGGCAGGAACTTACAGGGAGTGCATCAACTCCGATTCCAACGCTAGGATGAAAGGAAATAAACGAGTAAGTGTCCACGGTAGGAACTTACAGGGAGTACGACGACTTCAATCCTAAGACTAGGATGAAACAGTAAAAGACCTAAAATTAAGCTAAGATTGACATGGCAGTCAATGAGAGGAGATCTTTTCCTTTGGAATGGGATAGGGAACCAATAAAGTTAAGAGCATAAAAAATGAACAAATAACAACCTAATATACCAGAAAAAATCAAGTCAATCAAATCATCATGGATAGGGATTATGAAGATAACTTATCAATTGATTAAAACAAGTATTCAGAAGTAACAAAATTAGTCCACCAAGAATATATGAGATAAATATTATGTGCGTCCATGATTAACTAAAAAAAATTAAAGGTAACTGAGATTAATCAAATAAAATCTAATCGAAACTAATAAAGTTAAAGTCTAATTAAAAACTAAATAAAAGATTAACTAAAATCTAAATTAAGTTCAAAATCTGAATTAGAACTAAATTACCTAAACTCTAATTTAAAAATTAATATTAAAATTCTAACTTAAAAAACAAAAAGGGGTGAGGGAATAGGATTAGGAGTGTTATAAACACTATTGGGCCTTTGAAGACATGTCAAAAATGGCAAAAGAAAAAGTTCCAAAAAAAGCTACGGGCCAAAGCCCACCCTCTAACCCACCAGAACCATTGTTGGGAAGGCAAGTTCAAAAACCCTACTTTTTAATGCCCTTTTTCCAACAACATCCAGTGACTTAAACCTTTTCCATAACTCATCTATTGCACCACTCATATCCACCTCTGATCCATCGTCTACGTCTTCGTCCAAATTAACTTCCATACTTAGTTTTCTCCAATGAACATGTACAACCTCTATTGGTATCGGTATACCATCAATTCTATATCCTGTCAACTTACAAGCACAAGGTAATCCGTAGGTTGTTCTAAGAGTACAACGACACTTTTCCTTGTTAGTTCCAACATAATCAACTCGTTTTAACTCTTCAGCAATGCGTCTCAATGCATCTCGAGACACTGAACCACGTAAATTATTGTAAAATGGACTTACATGAGCGTGCTCAACTTCATAAAAACTCTTTTGAAAAGAAGCTCTAATATTACCCAATTGTAACTTTAAGTTGTCATTCATAGCCTCCCAACATTTGACCATGTCACCAATACTGTTCCCCAACATTTGCTTTAACTTCCAATGAGCAGACTCGACCCTAAAATTAATACATATTAAATATATTATAAAAAAATTAAAAAAAAAATACAATTTAGAAATACTAAAAACAAATACATACCGATTAGTCGTGGTGTTACCAAAATGTAGCAATCGATTAATCCATGCTTCAACAAATCTTTGTCTATGTGGTGTCAACCATATGTCCTTCACATAATCAATAAATTCATTACAATCAACGCACGCCTGCTCAAGTTGTTTCAACGTTTGATCATACTCAACCTCATCACTAGCCCATACAACCTCCGTCCATAATTCGTCAATTTTCTTTTGCATGTCACTAGCCACATATTGTTTCCGTTTTGCACCAACATTCTTGTTAATATGATATCGACATAGCATATTGATCGACCTTGGAAACACAATTTCAATGGCTTTCATCAAAGCAAGATCTCTATCTGTCAAAATCACTTGTGGACACAACTCTTTTTTCACAAACAATTGTTTAAGCTTATCTAGCACCCAACAAAAATTCTCAGTTTGCTCAGACTCAATATAGGCAAATGCGACAGCAAAAGTCAACTCGGTTGATGTCATTCCAACAATTTCAAACAGAGGTTGCCTATATTTGTTAGTCTTGTAAGTGTTGTCCATAACTAGCACAATAGGAAAAATATTCAACAACTTAACTGAATCTGGATGAGACCAAAAGATATCTCTAATAACTTCAGAGTCATCTCTTTTTCTACTCCAATAAACATAACCTGCTTCCTCAATAAGCTTAAACAAATGTTGTATCTCACTTCTAGAACCTCTTATATTTTTTACTATCGTACTCTTCTGTTTGTATATTTGCGTGATCCGAGTGACATTATCTAGATCTTGCTCTTGCAATGAAAGCAGTATATGTCTAGGTGGAACCTTTCTCTTTGTCAAATCAATAACATGTTGCTTCTGATCCGCTGTCAACCTACCGACAAATGCGTGACCTTCTAATCTATCAGGTAAATTATGGTTATGAACTCCACATTTTACATCAATTTTCCATCCAGATCCATCAGCCGCTGGAATTGATCTGATTCTAAATGGACATTCACATTTTTTCGTCGCACTCTGAGTTCCACTAACAATATCTCTGTGTTTTCCTCCTTTATCACATCCAAATATTAATTTGTTACTTCTTCCTCTCTTACCTGTTTTAATATCTGAACGAGTGATGATAACCGTAACTTTATTTCGGATTCCGATCTCTTTAATCCATCTTATCACCTCTTCTCGTGTATTAAATTTTTGAGTAGTTGAAAAAACATCAGACGTATCTACCCATATTTGATCTTTATCGCATATTTGTAAAGGAACTTCTGAAATTACATACATACGTAAAAAAAAATAATTTAAAAAAAAAATTCAAAAAAAAAAATTCAAAAAAAATGCCAATACAAACCGGAACACTTATAGAAAGAGTTCCGGTAGCCAAACTAGTCAAAAAACAAACCGGAAGACTTGTTACAAGAGTTCCGGTAGTCAAAATTTCAAACCGGAAGACTTGTTCCAAGTGTTCCGGTGATCACACGAAAATTCCAATACCGGATATCTTTATTAAAGTGTTCCAGTATGAAAGAATATGCATACCCATTTGCGATTCTCAGAGTGTTCCGGTTGATTGGGGGTCTATTCCTCAAAGTCTAAAAATTATAAAAAAATGAAAATAAAAATAATAAAATATTAAAATATATGAGGATAAAATGGGTATTTTTTTAAAAATGTAAGGCTGTGGGTACAAGTATAGGAGTATAGAGTAAAGCTTCCACACATGAAAACCCTTTTTATACAGCCAAATTCCCCTTCTTCTCATATCCAGACCTCACTCAATCTTTCTCCTATACTTCTTCAAACGAAATCTAAATTTGCATCATCAGAATTAAAAATGACAAATCGAAAATGAAGCCACCGATCGTTTACATCAGAGGTAAAGAGGAGATGAAAAAGTATTACCGGTCAAGATACGACGTCTGCAGCAGTGGACTCGCGGTGGACTCGAGCTAGGGACGACACGACTCATTTGGCGTTCCATCGACTATTAACCGTGGATGTTCTCAATGATGGCTTCTCTCGGAAGTTTTCGATTATTCTTTTAACTTCCACGGTTACAGTGACACAGAGAGTAGTGGCTGAAGAACAAAGACGTCACGAGAAGCTGTGCGTTGTTGTGTAGCCTCAAAGATGTTTTTGACGACACACGGTACCTTCTGTAGTCGAAAATAGAAGTGATCACGATGTCGGAAATGGCAAAGGTACTGCTTCTCTTTCAATTTGATGTCGCAGTGCTGCCCTGCGTATAACATTGTGTTGTGTGATTCTCTCTTTCTGATGTTTTCAATTTTACTCACCCCACCAATGTTACGAATCTGTTTTCTTTGAATCCCGCTCCCGGTTCTGCACTGCGATGTGTATTTTTCTTCTCTGAGTCGTGTGTGTTGAAAGACCCACCTCTTATGATGCATCTTTTCTGATTTTTATAGGCATCTATGTGAAATTTCTGTTTTAGACCTTGATGATTCTGTCAAATATTATCGCAAAATCTTTTCTATTTTCCGTTCGACATGTTTGAACAAGTTGAAAACTTTCCTTTTCCAAGCAACTGTGTCTGAACCATGATTAATATTTCCACCTCTGTTTGATTTTGTTTATGATATGTTGCAACCTTGTTTTAGAAAGGAACAAACCATGACCGAGGTTCTCTGCTGTGTGTAATGAATTTGTGATCAAATTTTGATGGCGAAGACTCCTTTCTTGACTTACTCATTTTTGATTGATTTCAACACGTTATTATGTGGTTTGTGTATCAAATTAATGTTGTTGTGTTAAAGTTCACGGATGTTGGTTCGAGTATGACAAAAACTATTTGGATGGTGGCCTGTTATGAACGACTTTTTTGTTTCATGTTTGATGGGATCCCACACTCCAATCCTTTTCACAACACACGCTTGTCAATGAAGTATCAGATCATCTTGCACATCGAGAGCGAGCCACCTTGAAATGTTCATTTCCATAAAGGCTGGCCATTGCTTCTACTTTTTAAGAGATTTATTAGATTGTCCTTTGAGTGTCATCAAAAAGATCCTCGGCACAGTTTTCCGTGAGTATATAATCAAGAGTTCCAATTGTATTACTGACTTGTGCAGCTAGTTTCGAAAAAAGAACAGCTTCTCCAAGACATAGTACTAAAACCAAAACCGACATGCCCAAAGTTTAAGTTGCATGTCCTCGTATACACTTTGTAGAATGAGCAACACTAAGAGTTAGACCAATGTATCCAGCTTCTAATGTTACTTTTCAATGACACATCTTTGTCCTCCACATATATTTCTTAAAGTTCCAGTAATAAATCTCTCTTCAATTTTGTTTTGACTTATGAAAAAATTTTAAGGCTTGTATGTCTTGAATATTGTGAATAAATACTAGTGTAACTTGGAATTTCATTGAACACTTTGAACAAACTTTTGGCTTTGCATATAACCTTCAACTTACGCTTTAAAAATGAATTTTGTAGCATGTAAATACCTTACGAATCTTTTACATAAGGTGCACTTTAGTTTTTTTGAGCTTGAATGCTTGAATATTTTTTAATTTTGGATTGACTTGTAATGCTTCAAAGTTAACTTGAATCCTTTGAATTTTGTATTTTAGAAGTAGATTAAATTATGATGAATTTCTGAATGCTTTGAGAACTTTGGGGTAATGAACTTGAAATGTAAGAAACGTGATCATAGGCTTTTAAACATAGAATTCAACCTGGAATACGAAATCCTTTGAATGGTGAACTCATGACTCACATCTTGTATTCTAAGTGAACTATAAGCATAACCTTGAACACTCTTGCACTTTGTATTGTCGTGAATTTTCTATTTGAATTCTATGGAACTTTTCTTGTGATGGTTTAAGGTGAAATTTCATTAGGATATCAACTTGAAATGACACACATACATCTTGAACAAACAAACTTTCATGGAAAACCTCTTTGAACTTATGCCTTGAATCTTTTTTGTGAAAAATATGAATTTTGATCTTCAATTTAAAATTACTTGCTTAAACTCGATTCCAAGTTTTTTTCATCCAAATTTACCGTTTCAAATTATATGGTTCACACACTACCAAAAATCCAAGTTCTTCCATTAGACAACTAATGATCCAACTCCGTGAATAAGATCAAATTATGGCCCGAGAAAGCTCTTGAAAGTGAGGATACCACCTGTAGTGCAACACACCACGAAGTTTCAAACAGTTCTCAAATGATCATCTTTGAAACCAAAAGGCAAAAAACCCTAATCTTCTCTTGAGGAAACCTCTGAGAAATCTTGGAGAGAAACAATGGCCTTGTACTAGCTAGGGGACTAGGAATGAGAACATATCCATTTTTCAGCTCTACAGAACTCAACACAACTTGCAGAGGACTATGAGCACACACAAAGCCTTTATGATCTCTGAATCTTCTTCAGTAACCCTATCTTCACAAAACAAACAAACAAACAAAGTCTAGTAGATTGGTTAGCAATGTATGGATGATTGACCTAAGAATGATATGCAAAATATTAAAGAATCTAGGGGTAACATTTGGGGTATAACGTTTTGATTGCTCATGATGCTGTGAATTTTAGTTTGGGATATATGTTGGCAACACTTTATGATTTCTGTCTCCTTACCTTTTGAGGGTATGATGATGATTTTTGTTTCCATTCTGATTGGAAGATGTTGGTATTGTTTTTGGAAAGAAAATAGCTTTGTCTAAAATCATGATTTGCCCCCTGTAGGGAAAACATTATTTGGAATCTTCTGATTTTTATCTGGTTTCAAAATGCAGCACCGAGAACCGTCTGGCTGTGAACCGTGTGGGACACTTGGTTGGAGATCCCTATGGATTGAAAAAGGGTTGAGATGATCCTCATGGTAGTTGATTCCAATGGCACGTGAAGTTTTTACGAGTAACCTGCTAAAGAACATATTCGATCTCCATTCTTGTCATAGGATTTGATTCTATTAACCTATGGATATTTTGAGTTCCTGATAAAACTTGGAATGTGGGTAGTTAGAAACACCAAAACTGTCATGTTTTCCTTTGCTTAGGTTGGCTGCGAATGCATGAGCTTCCTTTGAAGTATCAATTTAATTTTAATCCCACTCTAGTTATTGTTAATCAGGAAATAATGAAACGCATTTATTGTGAATAATTTACATTCACAGAATAGGAAATTAATTATTATGAGTTGTAATTAGTCATTATGAGTTGTAATTAGTCATTATGAGTTGTAATTACCGACACTATTATATATAGTAGGAAATGCAATGAGAAAGGCACAAAGCTAGAATTTGTGACATGGTATCAGAAGGATTCGATCTAACCTGTGAATCCTTGTTCTCTTGGCTGAATAACGACACCCTACTGGGTCGCTCTTAAAATCGTGTTTCTTGTTTGGATTCCTCGAAATCGTGTTTCTTGAAATCGTGTTTCTTGTTTGGATTTCTCGACATCCCACTTCGATGATCGTTAATCATTTGGTGCTACTAGGATATTGTGATTTACGATTCTGTTTTGTATTCTCGGCAATTCTGCTTGGTGATTGTTGTTCTTGGTGATTCGGTTCGGTGATCGTGGTTTCATTGTTGGACCATTGGCGATTCTCGATCAAGGTTTCATTTTCTCGCTTGTGGGTGTCTCTTCGTCGTTCGTTAGTGCTACTGTGTGGGCTTTCTAATTTTCCTTTTTTTTCTATTTATTTAATTGTTATTATTAAATAAATTTAAAAAAAAAAATAAAAAAAACAGCAAAAAGGCTTTTTGTTGCTCGTGAATATTGGATCTGGAATTGTCTTGTTATTTAACAATACAAGGGGTTATAATATAATGGCTATGGAAAATGAAAAGAATTTTTGTGTCCGTTTTACTGGCAATAATTATTCTGCATGGGAATTTCAGTTTAAGATGTATGTCAAAGGAAAGGGATTATGGAGCCATCTAGATGATGTTTCTAAGGCACCGACGGAGAAAACTGCTTTAGATGCGTGGGAAACTAAAGATGCTCAAATCATCACTTGGATTCTCCACAGTATTGATCATCAGATGATTAATAATTTACGCTCTTTTTCAACTGCTCAAGAAATGTGGAATTATTTGAAGCGCATTTACAACCAGGACAATTCGGCAAAACGTTTTCAGTTGGAGTTAGAAATAGCCAACTACAAACAAGGTGATTTGTCTATTCAAGAATACTATTCTGGTTTTTTAAATCTCTGGGCAGAACACTCTGCTATTATACATGCTAATGTTCCCAAGACCTCTCTCGCGGTTGTTCAAGAGGTTTACAACACAAGTGGGCGAGA